CTTACATCTGTGTCTCCTTCACTACCTCTGAAAATCCCAGTTCTTGACACCAACAGAATCACTCCTTTGCTTTATCCCATGCTAAATGTGCAAGAAGCTCAGAATAACAATTTTAACACTACCACCAATATAGTGGTGTGTACAGTCAAAATGTTGTGTTTTAAAGTCACATGGAGTTCATCTCTGTGTTGTTTCATCAGCAACTGGACACACAGGTTAATTCATTTTAATTTTGCTTTTAGGGATATCTTACATTTAAATGTTTGCTTTAAAATGATACACAATATTTACATGGTTGTAAAGTCAAATATATAAAGCAAGGTCTGTTTTTTAAAGTCTAACTTGTATCTTTGTCACCCACATCCTACTATCTCCCTCTATAGGTAAATATTTTTTAAATGTCATAATTCATTGTTCCGATTTTGAAAAATATAAGCTTGTACAACATTAATATATAACTAAGGTAATTGAGCCGATCTATATATTCAATAAAGGCAGGGGCAGGGGAGAAAGAAGTATTGAGGCAATTCTCCATCTTACCTCAGGCTCTTTGCATGTGCCGAAATCTGCCCAGGAGTCTTTTATCCTCTTCTCTCCGAATGAACCACTACTCACACATTAGTTGTCAGTTCAGTTGCTTCTTTAGGGAAATATTTCTGGACTTTCCATATATTCCATAATTTGCCTCCCTCACTTGCTCCAATTTATTTAGCACTTATGTAATTAATAATTAATGTCTTCCTCACTCCCTAGATTGAAGTCCAGGAGGGCAGCAAGATAGGCTTTACTCAGCATCGTCCCCCCAATGTCTTGCACATGACTGGCTCGTAATAAGCTCTCTTATTGATGCTTATTACATCTAGTGAATGAATCTATTGCATGAATAAATAAATGTCAAAGTCGAATAAATGAAGCTGGCTTCAGGCTTTCCACAGCCCCCTAATCTCTCTAGGCTTCTGTTCCCTCTCTGTAAAATGTGATAGGACCGGTCCATCCCTCCCCCAGGATTGATGAGAAGTATGATGAAGGTGATGAATACTTAAAAATCCCTTTGCCAGTGTCACGTTGAATTCTGTAACGGTTTATTTATTAACAAGCACTGGTCGTCGTCAGGTGGAGCCATCAGCGCCGCTCGTGCCCCAAGCCGCGATGGGCCGGGGCCAG